CAAGGCTCATGCTATGTCCTGGCTCTTTACCTCCCTTAACCCTGCTCCTGGGTTATGAAAGAAAACCCCAATATTAGAATATAATAGATGCTGAATAAATATTTATGGAATACATGAAAAATACTTATTAGAATACATTATTCTTTTACTACTGAAACCTTTCCTAATGTAAAAATTTCTCAAGGATACTTGAAAAAAATAAGGAAAAAAACCAGTGAAATAAATCACACTAGTAAATGCATGATATTTATCAATGTTCATGTCCCAGGTGTCTCAGCTTTGTCCTCATTGTCTCTTTCCCCCCACCCTCTTCTCCATTGAGGATTTGCTGAGTCTTCTGGAAAATATCAGCCTTTGATTCCCACTAGTAATTTAACCTCCACAAGCTTTTCTGGCTCCATGGTTGGAGGCTCAAGAATAAGTTCTGTATAGTTTTCCAGACACATCACAGTTTCACATGGCTAGATTTCCTTTCCTACAGAGGATGTTTATTCATTCAACAGATACTTATAAAATTTATTGATTTTTACTTATGGGTGTCTGTGTAAGGGTATGCACTACAAGCAGATGCTACCGAGGCCCAAAGACCATATCAGAGTCCCCTGAAGTTGGTGGTTGTGAATCACCCAGTGTGGTTTCTGGGGTCAGAACTCGGATCCTATCCTGGAGCAGCATGTGCTCTTGATGCGTATTCCAATCTCACAGATATTTAAAGCCCAGTTTGTGATAAACTGTTTTTCTTAGCCACATTACTTATACATACAAACCTACGGAGTTTTCTTTTTATAACTTTAAGTAGCTTTCACTCCAATGCAGGATACACATGGGGGCATGAAATGATATAAATATGTCAACTGTCAAATAAATAGGTAAAATGTGTTATAGCAAAATTGGTCTTATTAAATATAAAATTTTAAATCTGAAATAAGTCATATTTTTATCTTAGTCTGTACAAAGACAAAAACAGCATCAGCATATGTCATTGTTTTTTACTTAGGAATAAAGGTATATTCATTTTACATATTTGTATATGTATTCATACACACACATACACCTTTTTATACATCTTCCCATTATGTCAAAAAGAAAATAGGGCTGTGGCAAGATGATCCTAGCTTGTATATGTGTTTTGTTGCATGTAATTTTTTAGGGCGTATCAAAATGTGCTTCTTAAGAATAAGCAGATGTGTTCTGTACTAAGGTCATGCAGCTTGTGTTATTGAAATTTCTTTCTTTGTATTTTGGTCTTTCTTCTTCCCACATTAAACCCACTAGCAGAGAAGAGATTCTTCTTCATTTCATATGGGTGCATTAAAACTTTGGGGAATCTAAATTCTGTCTTCGATATTCATGAACACTTCCAAAGCTTGAATAAAATAATGAGACCTTAAAAAGTGATCCTTCTATTTCCCCTTTTACTAGAATATAATCTGGAGACAGATAATGCATAATTCTAGGTAATGGATCACATCAACTAAGGCATGCCAATAAATCCTTGCACTGACCTTATACATAATGTTTTGCCAAGAAAAATGTTTTCAGTGAGGAAGAATCTCCTCCTCATTGTGTTTTGTTGCATTTTCTTTAGTAAGGAAGGGATAATGTTGTCTACTTCATATTTTTCTTCCACCTGCTTTCAGGGACTAGTCAATTTAAATTTGTAATTAAAAAGAATATATACATATGTATATCATTACAAAACAAGGGAGAGTATTTGGGAATTGATGGCAAAAGAAGATAGCAGAACAAATATAGAAAAACACACACAAAACAAAATGCAAATTCAAATGAAATAAATGCTAATTAATTTAGTCAGTAAGAAAGCATTCCGCATTTCAGTGTAAAGATATTATGTCCTGATTGGCTTATCCACTATGGGACTTTTTGTGTACTCGTCCCTGTCAACAATCCACACTGACACCTATCCTAGATGATACCGATATTGATATCACTAGGTGAATAACACTGTCACAATGTCAGGTTCCCACTGGCATCTCACAATTTTAAAGATGTCCCTGTGTTCTCCCTCAAGGCCCTATCCCAGGCACAGAGATAATTACTTATTCAGTCCTTCTGCATTTAATTCATAACTACATCTCAGGAGGCATAAAGGAAAACTGTGTGGTGAATCCAAATACATAATAAAGACACATAATATTGTGACATGTTGGTCTTCTGAAACCAACCTTTTGGTATGGCTTACAGACATGCACTAATACATGTCTGTGTGCCTGACATAGGTGCTGGTTTTACCCGGCTTAGTGAGTTATCCTAGAAGAAAAAGAATTTTCCTTTTTTTTAAAAATAGAATTCCCCTTTGGAGAAGAGTCCTCTTTCCTGGCTTTTCTTCTTATTTGAATCCGGTATCTAAATTTTGAAATTGAAGAATACAACCTACAGATTGCTTCTGATACGAACTTCTTAAAAGACACGCTGTTCAAGTTCAGATGAACATCATATCGAGCTAAGAATGACTCAATGAGCAGAGTAAAGAATACCAGCTTTCATCACATATTTTAAAAACTTAAAAGCTATTTAGAATTCTTTTTTTACTTATTGTGGGTACATAAATGTTTAGTGCATTTTCATTTCTGAAACAACTTCCAAATACATCTCATTTCTCCGTGGTCACTGTGCTTTTTCCTCCACTTCAGAGCAGTAACAGTCTTTCACAATTAATAAACACCACATGCACCGTCAGTGGGCATTAACGAGCCCCTTTCATCCTGCCGGCTCCTTTGCATAGTTGGAGATGACTCCAAATTATCTATTTCAAGCAGTAAACCCACATCAGTTTTCATATGAAGCTCATTTCTATATAAATCATGCTCTCTGACAGAGAAGTGATTACTAATATGGGACATGAATTCAGTGATATATTCATCGCTTCCAAAACAAAATCTTTTAATGCAAACATAAAGAAAAAGAAATGGCTCCTATTTTTTCATGGCAATTATACATCATTTTCTATGTTCTTAGCACCAGGTATCAGTATCCTAATACTCCTTTAACTGTTTTCTTGGTAGGAGAAGAAAAGGAAGTTGGTGACTTCCATTACCATCAGCCCACATATTTTAGCTTTGGTAAAGTATTTGTTTGTTTCCTTTTTTTGAAACAGGATCTTGCTATGTAACCTAGGCTGACTGTAAACTGGCACCTTGCCTTATCCTCTGGGGTATTAGGAACACCATAGCAGGCAAAGATGTTTTAAAGAACCATATACCTTCCTCATTATTCCCAAGTTCTGTGGTGCCCAACTTCAAGGTATATGGTTCTTTAGTAGGCACAGATTCAGGTACAATACTTGTCGTTTTTCTCAGTCACAGTTTCCTTTGTAACAGGGTGGAGCCCAAGTTGTGTTATTATATATTTACAGTATTACCCTTTCACTCCTACTACAAACTATTTGAAAAAGAACTCAAACAATGAAAGGATTTTCATGAAAGCTATGGAAAAAATTTAGCAATGCAAATTAGAAATTTAGAAAATTTAGAAAAAGCAGATTATATCGAAACAGTTCTACTTTTGGGATGGTTTACAGGAAAAAAAAGAAAAGACAGGCTCATCAGCAAATGAAACATTAATTTATGACCTATGAAGCAAATTAGGATTGAATATTTTTATAAATGAGATTAATAGCATTGACAGGTGAAATGACAATATGAGGAATATTTGATGGAGGAAGGTTTTTTTCAGGAGTCAGCATTGGTTAGAAAAATTCTTTAAACTTTGAGGCAAGTCATGAAATAGGCACTTACAACTGATCCTGGCCTCATTGTTCCTTCCAAAGAAATCAGTTCTGCTTTTATTATAGGAAAATCAGTCTTAAATTCCCAGGTCTTGGCTCATACTCCCATTTCTTTTCTTTTTTTTTTTTTTTTTTTTTTTGGTTTTTACAAGACAGGGTTTCTCTGTATTGTTCTGGAGGCTCTCGGTCCAGCTCGGCCTCGAACTCACAGAGATCCGCCTGGCTCTGCCTCCCGAGTGCTGGGATTAAAGGCGTGTGCCACCACCGTCCCATTTCTTATATTAGAGAAACTTATTGTATTTTTCTGTATTGGGGTGGTAATTTTGTGAGAATATAGATGAAGATAACATCTTTCTATGCACATAACATCCCAATGCTAACACAGTACTGTGGTTTGACAGCATTTCTAATTACAGTTTCTTGTATGTATTGCTGCCCGGTTAGTTTTCTTAATCAAAAGCCAAGACTTCTCTGAAACATGGTGACTGAGAAATTTCAAATCTCTCTGAGAACATACAGAATTGTAGGGCAATGCTTTAGAAAACTGATATTTTTTCTCTTTGATATTTCTAATTTTAAAGGGGGAACTGGGACAGAATCTAATCACTTTCATTTTAATTAAAGAAGGCACTAATTTTAGCCACTTCCATTTCATAAAGCATGTAATGGAGTCAATAATGATCACCGAAAACTTGGAAGTGCTCTCCTTTCTGATTCATTGGAAGCATTTTCCCCATCATTAGTGATGGGAAAGAATGGAATCTTCAGAAGCTAAAACAACGCATTTTTATACATGCAACATGATGAGAAAAACAGACAACCCCATTGTACTGGTTGTAAATAATGGAGAAAGATTTTGGTTTTGGTTTTTAGTATTGTCTAGTCTTTTTCAAGTGCAATGTTGAGAGTCTTACTTTCCATGTTAACTTTGCCTCAATCAATATCAATGATGGGCCCTTGCTGTAGAAAGTAGATGTGTCTGTGGACAGGTAAGAAGAATTCTAGGCCTCATTTCTTCTGAAGGTCATGTGCAGGCAGAGACAAAAAGTGTGTGTGTGTGTGTGTTGTGGTTATCACCTGAGAAATAGGAAGTAAAATCCATGATAGGATAATGATAATCTATTGGTATTAGATGAGGCAGCCTAAGATTCACCAGTAAAGGAACAGAGGTATAGGAAAAACTTTGGTTTATTTTCTTCCCATTGGATTCTATGAACCACAGGTTCTTACATCAGTACCTTTTCTCTTCTAGGAGTTGTTCCAGTGGACTCTGTGTACTGTGAGTATCTTTTTATTTAAATTAAAGACAATCTTATTATGTACCAATCTCAGTTCCCTCTCCCTCCTGACCTCCCATGCCCCTCACCCCGCCCCCATCCTGCCATCAGAAGAAGGAAGGAGAAAATTATCAGGAGCATACTGTTGAGAAGATACTGGGATCACCTCCCTCCTGTTTCTTATGTATTTGCAAACTTGTACTTTCTCATCACAGAGCCTGGGTAATGAGGGCAGTTACTGGATTGAAATATCTGAATGTATGAGCCAACACAAATCTCTCCCCTTTAAATTGATTATTTCACGTGTTTGGCCATAGCAACAGAAAGCTGACTAAACGGTAGCTATATAATTGTAATCATTCTACTGTTACCTATCACTATATTTATCAGGGCATATGTTTTTATTTCTGTGTTCATGGTGATGACACAGATCCTAGCATTTAACAGGATTTCAACAAGCCTTAAGAAATGTTTTTTTTTTGTCTATTCTTTGTGGAATCCATATGCTACATTTTGAGCACATCCATTCCCCTCTTCAATTCCTCACAGATCTTCTCCCACTTCTCTACCCACCCAGCTTCATGTTATCTCTCTCTTTTAAGCAACAACAGGGAGCCCTGGTTGTGTTGCCTGATTATTCCCGGTCATGAAACTGCTCAGCAGTGTGGTTGATAACCAAGTGTCACCCCATTGAAAAAGGCTGACTTAGTACTTGGATGGGAAACATATTTTTCCAAATAAATTTGGTACTTCAGAACACCTCACATTGTAAATGGTGAGGTGGATAAATCCATCAAAGTATCTGAAATCATCATACTCTTTGTTAAGTACATGAAAAATACTCTGTAGAATATTCAAGAAGCCTACTTGAGGTTTGTATTCTTCACTGGTCTACAGGGTGATGAATGCAAAGCTGGGTTCACATTCATTTTACTTATCATGCGTTCATCTTCTGGTTTTGATCATCAGTAACATCTTCAGTATCACTGCTTCTTTTTGCTAACACCTAAAAAAGTCAACCTTCTTCTCTAGGTTAGCAGTCATTCTCAGCTGTTTCTAATCCTACCGTTAGATGGTGAATAGGAGACAGTATTTTCAGATCTTGAAAACAGAGAAGGAAGCAGCAGAAGTCACCAGGATTGCATTTTCTCACCAGAGAGCATCAGGAAGATGTGGTCCTTCATTATTGCACATTTCCTCACTAAGTGTATACTTATGAACACACCATGCAGATTATTAAGAGTGCTAACTATAACATTCATAAATTCACTTACTTATAAGGAGCTATATTTTTGTCTCTTCGAGTTAGAAAGTGTCTTCTAGTCTACCTTTGCTACGTTATAGAAGACTTTTAGCTTTGCTCTCCATACTACAGGGATTTTTTCCTTTTCTTTCTACAGTCAGCCATTGTGAGTGTAATACTTGGGCTAACCATTAATGATATTGTCTTTTTCTGAAAATATGTAGAGAATGGAGACGCAAGTTTCTAAGAGTTGCTTAGAGTGGATGGGGTATAAAATAATATCTTTTGAGAAGCATTGCCATCAGTATATGAATGAATAACCTAGAAAGTTGGGTGTGGTGGTACATAGCTATACTTCCAGAAGTTGGAATACTGAAGCAGAAGGATCTTGATTTCAAAGTTAGACTGCAGAATGAAAAGAACTTGTCTCAACAAATAAATACAACCAAGTCAAAAAAAAAAAAAGATATCAAACTCAGAACTTTGTTAGGAAAGTCCTTGAAGGCATAGACTGTATCCAGTTTACTCTCAAGTCTACTCATCTTCACTCAACCATTTAACATGGTTGTGCTTTAAGCAGGTTATGGATTTCCCATTTCTCCTCTGTGTCCTTCTCTGTGTAAGCAATACTTCATATCCACCAGCGGGTAGTATGTTTGAGTAACATGATCAGAATCTCTTCCATTTTGGGTATCAATAGATTACCTCTCTCACACTGATGTTCCCCTGGCTTAGACACTATTCTAAAAGGATGCTTTACAATTTCTGTCTAAATTGGAAAAACCTATTTTGAAAGAGCACCTTTCCTTCACAGCTTTGAGGCTGTTTGCTTCTCTTTATAGCAGCATGAGCCAAAGGGCACTACTTAAAAACAGAATGTCAGAGGCTATTCAGAATTCTGCTTTCTTAAATATGTGGAGTATATCATTTCACTCTTCTTGGTTGATGACCAATTGTTGCATTCTAGGGTTCCATGTGACAGTGTGGGAACTGGGTTAGAAAAAATAATAAACCCAAATCACATTTTTGTCTATGTGTTTTCAATGCCCACACAAGTACAGTACCTCCTACAATCATTTAACAGTTAAACTTCTGATTCATTCAAATTATAATAATTAACTGTAATCATATATAAATAAACCAAAATTTGCCACAAAGTGTTTGTTTAAGGAATCTATTCATTATAAAAGCTTTCAAGTGTCAGTGGATGCATAATATATGAGACTATGATTTTTTTGTCATACAATTTCCCTGTTATATTTTTCTTCTCATGTGACTGTTTGAGACCACCAATTTTCCTTCTCTGAATTTTTGCATTCTTGCTGTTAACTCCTCATAGGTCCTCCTATAGTTTTGCTTTTTGAAAATAAATAAAGGAAACGTTAGGAAATAACATTATTTATGAGCCTCAAAAGAGCCGAATGAAAAGTAGAATCTTTGCAGGAAGTACAGTTGAAAGGTAGGGCTCCATGATAAATTAATTTAATCCCTCAGACATCTTGCAAGGCTATTGAAACTCCATGGGTTCTTTCTAGGATGGCTGTGAAATTGAGTTAAGCTAATAATTTCTTTCACCTTCACAGTCTATATATGCCAGTGATGGAGTGATCAGTATTGATCTTTAGGACAGTTGGCGTGACAGGTTCAACTATGTCTTAGTTTGATCAATTCTTAGATATGGATTTAACCTTAAAAATCTATTCTTCATAAAATTATGATCAGACTAATTATATAGGACAGAACTTTGACATCATATTAATAGATTTCTCTCAGTCAATAACACAAAGGAAGCTTTAGTGCTCAATATTACCAGGTGATTTTAGATATCTTTCTATTTAAAAAACAACTACTATTAGCAAAGTATAAGAAGTACATTTTTGTGCTTTAGGCTCACATTATGAGAAATTTGATCTCTCTCTCTCTCTCTCTCTCTCTCTCTCTCTCTCTCTCTCTCTCTCTCTCTCTCTCTCTCTCTCTCTCTCTGCATCCATTTGCCTACTCACCCACCTACCAATGTACCTGCCTTCCTGTCATCTTCATCTACTCTTCTCTAAGTTTTGTAGATCATAATTTTGTTACACTCTTTGGTTCTTTCTACTTTTAGAAAGCAACAACTAATGGAAATTACTTAACTGAATTCTTATCACTATTTATTTTTAGTCATTCTCTAGAATTCAGGGTATATCTTTCCATGCAAGTTTTTGTTTTCTTCCACATGTTGCTGTTCTTATACAATGACCAGAATGCTTCCTGTGCTTGTTTTCTATTCGATTTTTCTTTTCTGAAAAATGCTGTTTATATTCTTTGTTAATTTTGAATCCTTGATTGTTTAACTTTGAGCCTCTACCCTGATATCACACACACTTTGTCTTTACTCTTTTATGTTTGCTATTTGTTAGCATGAATGTACTTACAGTTTATCCTCCTCCCAGAAAAAAGCATATTATTTATTTAGCATTAAATAATGTATCACAATATTAATATATTTAAATCAGAAAGTTAAGATTTCTGGAAACCTCATCAATCCTTAATACTCACAACTTAAATTTCATTGAAATTCTCAATTATTTTTTAAATAATACATTTCAGTCATATTCTTTCTCCTCTGGAAAAGGTATAAGCATACACACATATACTTGGGCATATAATTGAATTGTATCATAGACAATTTTCTCTCTTTCACTTCCTTAGTATGCTTATTTCTACTTTTGATCATTTTAGTAAATAAAGTTAATACCATCAAACATGTGCTTCAGTACTTTTCTTCTTACTAAATGATTCAGTTAGGCCTTTTAAATTAAAGGTTATGCATTAAATATATTTATTACATTATTATATCATGTGTAATACCTAATTATTATTTATATTTTATTTTTATTTATAACATTGTTATTCCAAAAAGAAAATGTGCCATTTCATAGCAGAATTTGATGAGTTTTTTAACAGTGCAATAATTTTTGTAATAATCAACAAAATCATGACTTAGAAACTTCTTTAGCCCCAGCTCTCCCCATTTCATTTATTCTGTTAATGAGTAGACATATTTCACTCTAGTTTGAATTTATATTTTTCTTATGAACAGTGGTGTTTGGCATTGCACAGGGTCTCTTAGGTAATTTGACATTTTATGTAAATAATCAATTAAATTATTTTGCTCAATTTCAAATTGAGCCATTTGCCTGCTTATTAGTGAGCCATAGGACGATTCTGTGTTCAAGTTCATGGTCAACACACGTACTAAGAATATTTTTCTAATTTAATGTAGCTTGTTTTTTTTAAATTGTGGTGTCTTTTAGGAACAGAAGTTAGCCACTTTTGTGAAAACTAACCATTTTTCTTTATGATTGGTGTTTTTCATATTTATTGTATTAAACTTTATTTGTAGTTCATGGAACTTATCTCTTATGTTTCTTTATAACAGGATTTACTTCTAGTGTTTAAACTTAGGTCAATCAGTGAACAAACTTTGAATTACATTCTCAAAGATACTGTGAGTTAGAAGTTGAGTGTTTTCCCATACATACATCATAATTTTTTGAAAGTGTTTTCTTCATTGATTTCTCTTGGCATTTATGTCAGAAATCAGTTGACTATATACATGTGTGTGCTAACTTCTAAACTGTATTCTTCTGTTTTGATCTGTGTCTATGCGTATGATTGTTCCAGTTGGTGCTGTTATTTATCTGTGTCTGTCTGAAAAAATAAAAAGGGTGATATGTTTCCAAACCTATTTTTCCTACTTCAAAATTATCATAGATATATTCTTTTGTTTAAAAAAACACTACAATCAGTTTGTTAGTTTGTAGGAAAGAAACTGCTGGAATTTTGGTCTGGATTGATTTGATGGTATAGACTACTTGAAAGAATCAGACCTACTTTCTTAAAAGTCTTTAATTGAGGTCCTTCCACTTACTCAGGTATCTTTCTCTCAAGTTCTCTAAAGTTTTATGAATATGAATCTCACACATAGGTTAGAATATTCTCTAAGAATATTTAAAATATTCTCTATTGCTTTATAAGAAGTTATTTACCAAAGTCCATTTTCCAGTTCATTGCTGTGAATCAAAAAACAATTAATTTCTGCATGTTCACTTACATTCTATACTGTGTTAAACTTGGTTTCTAGTTCCAATTACATTTAGATTAAATTCTTTTGGGTTTTCTGTATAAACAATGATGTCTACAGCTATAGATAGGAATAGTCTTCTGTTTGCTAGCTATAGTCCTTTCATCTATTTTTTTGCCCATTTCAGTGCATATAACCTGTCACAAAATGGTTCATTATAGTTAGTCAGACCTGGGATTTGTCTCGTTCCCCACTGTAGTGGGCTAATATTCAGTATTTATTATTAAGCATGACATTGACTTTTGGTTTGTGTATATGCCTTTTTATCACAATATGAAATATCTTCTATTTTTGTTCTTCCACAGATTTGTGATAGGATAACGAGTAAATGTTAAGTTTTGTTATTTTAAACTTTAATTGATATGATCTGATAGCCTTTCTTCTTTGTTTAATTTTTTCAGTGCATTTTGATCATTTCTATTTTACTCATTCAACTCCTCCCCTATCCTGCTCATCTCCATACTCATGCAATGCCATGTTTCTCTTTGTCAAAAATAAAACAGAGAAGCAAAATAACCCAGCAAGATGTACACCACCAAAATGAAGCACATGTGCGTGCATGCTCACACACACACACACACACACACACACACACACACAAATATGGAGTACGTTTTGTGTTAGCCAACTTTTTCTGGGCATGGGGCCCGCTCTGGGATATGGTTGATATACCCAGGGACACCTCATTGGAGAAAACTGATTTTTTCCTTTCCCAGCAGCAATCAGTTGAAAGTAGCTTCTTGGTAGAGGGTGGGAATTTGTGTCTACTTTTACTTCTCAGCATTGAGACTTCCTTTAGTCTGTTAACATGAAAAATTGCACTGGTTTTTCATTTGCTAATGCAAACTTAGCATATGCAAGTAGAACTGCTCTTAATCATGGTGCAACATTCTGCTATTTATTGGCAATGAACTCTTCTCTTTGCCTTTTTTTCTGAAGATGAGTATTTAATATTTTAGGGCTGTATATTAGTTTTCTATAGGAATATTCACAAAATTTCGCCAATTTAGTTCATCAGCAAGTATTTCATAGTTTTGTGCAATCTAAATTTATTATGACATGGCTGAATTCTTGGGTTCCGGGGTCTGAAAATCCAGTTTCAGTGAGTTTACATTTTTGGCTAGAGACTCAGAGAAAAATCAGTCTTTGAATCACTCAGGGTTTTGGCAGAATTTAGTCTCTTATATTTGGAGTACTGAGTTCCTCATTTCCTTGTTGGCTGTCAATGTGGGCTGCTCTCAGCAATTAGAGGCTGGTTTTATTCGTTTTCACACACTCCCCACCAGTCACCAGGCTAGCAGTGCCATATCAGAGCCTGTCTGGGGAAGTCGGACCTCTTCTCTGCTCAGCAGGAGGCATTGTCTACTCTTAAATGTACATATGATTTGGTCAGATTCACCTAACTATGGGCTACTTTAAGAATAACCTAAAGCCTAGCCTAGCCACTGGGGGTAAAATCTGTCATAGTCAAGATTGCAAGCATTATGCAGAGTATGTGCTGAGTGGTCAAGATTCTTGAGTCTGGCTTGCAATTCAGCCTGCCACAGGATGCCATCTGGCACTTAAAGATCCAGGCCCTTGCCAAAGCACAACTCATTCTCTCTCGCCCAAGAGTTGCACCCCATTATTACATTGGCTTAAGCCCAAAAGCCCATCTAAAGCTCATCAGCTCAAAGGCCCAAATCCTAGTCAGAGAACTATCAGGGAAGTGGCAATCTGCTGCCCTTATGCAGTCAGTAAGAGGAAAAACACGAAGCTACAAGGCCCACCAGCTTAAGATAGCAACTGACATGGGACCACAATTTGACCAGACCATCCTCACAACTCATTATGTCTTCATTTGTATCGATAGCAGAGTGAGATCACCATTCAAGGAACAACCACTCATGTGTAGGCACAGTCTGATCTGTGTGCTAAATGATACATTTGCCCTGAAAATTGCTTTTAATTTTCTTACTTCAGTTTTTTGAGGGCAAGTTCAAGTTGGCTTCCAATTTGCTGTGTAGTAGTCAAAGATATCCTTTAGGAACATCTTCAGTCCCTACCTTTCAAGGATTGGGATTACACTTGTGCAGCTTTGCCTCTAATTTATCAGTACCGTGCATCAACCCAGGGCTTCAAGCAGGCTATTCATGTGTGTTGAGGACTGAGCCACATTTGAGTCCTCTATTTTTAAAGCATTGATTTCTGTTTTCATATTTATTCTTCTTTTCTCCCCCATTGCTCTGAGTATAATTGGCCACCCTCTCTAGTTTCTAATGAAGAAAAGACCTTTGATTTAAAATGTTCTCCGTCTTTATGTAAGACTGTCTATTTTTAACTTCATTCAAAATTAAAATTTCTGTTTTACTTTAATTCCATTACAAAACATTGATGCCTTGTATTTTTATTGGCTCATTTTTTTTCTATTTGTGTGTGTGTGTGTGTGTGTGTATAATTTCTTCATTGGTCCATGAGTTACTTGATATGAAGTCTAGATACATAGGGAAATTTTCTAGATACATTATTTTGATCATTTGCAGTTCACTCATTTTAGTAAGGGAGCAATAAATTTCAACTTTTAAAAATATTTAACTTATTCTATAATCTGTCCTCTGATCATGTGTATTTTATAAGCACATTAAATGATTATGTATCTTAAACTATTGAATGTACTGCTATACATAACTGGCAATTAGGCTCATATTGTTAACAATGTCGTTTCATTTTTTTAATGTCTTTCTTGGGACCATGAAATAAATCCAACATTAAGGCATACCTTCAATTATAGACCTGTTTGTAGAAGTACTATCCTTTCCTGGACACTGAGAATTCCTGACAAAAATATGATCATTCTTTGGTGAGATAGATATAGGTCATAGTAGTGTAACTACTTAGAACATGGGGGAGGAAGGGGTGTTCTTGTTTCTCATTTCAATCTAAGTTCCCCAGATATAACCCGACAGACAGTGGCAAGCTGTCTTGGTGGATTTGTATCTGTTACAGTGAATGTTTTTCCATATTCTCTACTCACCTCTCTTTTCTCTTCTTGCCAGCCCTCCTGAGATCGAGTTTCTTCATCTGAGAACACCAGATTGGTGAGATTCTCCTCGGGAGACCTATTCTTTGTATCCAATTTTCTTACCCTTTCACTGTTGGTCTTAGACCCAAGAGGTCCCTTGTCTCAAGTCCCTTGCAGACACTTACAATGCCTGAAATGAAATGCCTCATGTTCTTCTGTGGTGTGACTAAAGCACAGTGAAAACTCCCAGACCAAGATTCATGGTCTATGAACTGTACTCTCAACTGAGTACTCCTTCACAGCTTCATCTGTTCTGCAAAAACAGAGGTTCCTCATATCCAGAGTTTCAAATAGGAAAGAGTTCCTTACCCAGTCAATATAAGAGACCCAATCATCCTGGACAACAGTTTTCACAGTGGCACTTCTCAGGCCATATATCCATCCCCAAATAAACACATCTCAGCCCTTTTAGGATCCTATCTGAAAGGACATTTCTTGATACGGACTTTTTATTGAACTCTGAAGTGCATTCACTTGTGCTGTGTGTGACAGCTCCGGGACTATCAATGCCATTAATGACAAAAGTGAGGGCCATCCCAGTGAGCAAGATAATAGTTACAAGTGATGTTGTGTAGTGAATTGAGAGTGACAGCAAAGAACTAAGACAATACTTGAAGGAACAAGATTATACAGAGACCTAGGGCAGTCCTTAATCAGATCCCTCCCACTAAAGGAAGACCTGTCCTTAACAACTGAGATTAGGGGATTGAGTAATATCTCAATGTTCTTCCACAGTTTTAGACACTCCTGAGACCATCTGAACCAACACCCACCAAGTTCTCCGATTCACTTGAGTGACAATTAAGAGATTTCCCCTGCTGCATTCATCTCTTCTCTGCCGGTGCAAGATTCAACAGCCTGCACAGCCTGCCTGTGGCTGCATTTGTTGTTCAAGAAGACTCCACGTGTTACGAATACTCATGAATCCAACTTCAAGCCCTATCCATCATGCCCTCCACTTTTTTGATATTATTCTCCAAAATCTTCCCTCATATTTCCCTTCTAACACCCAAGAGATCACCAGTACCCAACTTAGAGATTTCATTCTTGATCTCTTTCTCCAGGGTGATCTCATGGATTTCACTTGGGATGAGGTAATTCAGTTTCTGGAACTTCCGTAAAAATATTGCATTATGTCTCTCCCTACAATAAAAATGGATCTTGATGCCTGATACCTGTGTGATCATTTTTTTCTGCTAGTGCTGATAGTCCGACTTCTTTCCTGTGCTCCTAAGTTACCCTTAACAACCATTTTACTCCTTGGGCTAACTCTATCTACGTGTTACAACTCCCCAAAGCTTCTCAAGGTATCTCATAAAAACCTAAAAAATCTGCAAGCCTACAATCCATACCACCAGAGAAACTAGGAAACAAGGAGGATCCCAAGAGAAGAATGCATGGTCCCAGGAAGAAGGGGAGGGAGGAGAGGGGGACAAGAACCCCTGAACAAATTGGGAGCACCAGCGGGGGGGTGCAGGGGGGAAGAAGGGAGGTGGGAAGGAGAGAGGGGGAGAATGGGAGGGGGGAGGAGAACAGGAAGACTGAGACAAGGGAGAAATAGAGGAAGGCAAGAAAAGAGACGCCTTGATAGAGGGAGCCAGTATAGGTTTGAAGAGAGGTCTGGCACAGGGGAAATGTTAGGGGATCCACAGGGATGACCCCAGCTAAGAATCTAGTCAGTGGAGGAGAGGTTGCCTTTGATGCCCTTCCCCTATAATGAGATTGATGACTACCCTGGTTGCCATTCCTGTAGCTTATCGAAACAGAAACAGGCACCTACAGCTAAACAATAAGCCATACTCCTGGAATCCAGTTGCAGAGAGGGAGGAAGGGTGAGTAGACTGTGCTGGAGAAACCCGCAGAAACAGTTGACCTAACCTAGTGAGAGCACAGAGACCCTAGTTGTAAACCTGGGGAACCAGCATTGAACCAAACCCTCTGAATGTGGGTGCCAGCTAGAAGGCCAGGGAAATCTATGGGACCTCTAACAGTGGAACCAGTGTTTATCCCTAGAGTACAAATGGACTTTGGGAGCCCATTCCCTATGGAGGGAGACTTTTGTAGACCAGACATATGAAAGAGGGCCTAGGCCCCCCCCAAATGATCTGACAGACTTTGATGGTCCCCCATGGAGGGCCTCTCTATCCTTGGGGAGTGGGTGGGAGGATGCGTTGGGGGGTCTGTGGAGGATGGGAGGGAGTGAGAATGGGACCTTGATATGTAAATAAGAGTGCTTCTAAAATAAAAAAAGGCAAAAAATCTAATGCTTTTCTTAAACAAGGGGGGTACTGTCCCTGCTTCACAACTGACAATGATAGAAACACCCAGCTACACCATTTAAATGGATATGACTCAACACAAACTCATACCCTTACTAAAAGGAGATTTTTTTAATGCTGATCAAATGGTCCTAGTAATTCCATCTAATAACTTCTAAAATATGACTGTCCAACATCAGCTTACAGCCACATATCCATTTGTGACCTGATTCTTTCCTATGTTAAGGTTGACCTTCAGTGACCAATGTGTAATTAAGGGAGAGGACAGAGAAAATTTCTCAATTCTAGATAGTCTCCCTAACACCCTCTGTAATGTACTCTGACTCTAAAATGCTGGTCCCATGAATATACAAATTAACCAACAGTCTAATCCAGCACAGCCTAAAAGTATTGTGTCCTACTTACCTCAAGGGGAGGCACAGCTGAAATACAACTTCCCATCTGTAATGAAATTCTATCTGGTCACAGCACAATGGTAAGACTATAAACTTCCAAATCCTTGAACAATTGCTTGCCAAGCATGCTACTGATGAGCTGTAATACTGGGTGCATTTCGATTTCAGTCAATTATGCCTTTGTTTGGAAACACAACCCACTATTAGCTGGCCCACAGACATAGCCTATGCAGCCCTTTACCAGGGCAACACTAGTTTATTATTATGTCTTTCATATACTTTTGAAACCCTGGGAAAATCTGTTGGCCCTACAGCCACTTTTTCTGCTCAAATTTAACACCTGCCCCATGCTGAATATTTTATTAAAATTTTCTATGGCATAATGTGTAATTTTGCCTTCTTGTCAAATGAATTGACACTGGCACCTCAACTTATATTGCATCAGACATCTAAGTTGTTCCTACCAACCAATCAGCCATAATTCTTCTCTTTTACTCAGCTAGCCAAAACAAGTGACTAAATTAATTCTTTTATTTGTAAGGTTGGTAATAGGGGGTGGGGCTTGGTACTGGGACAGCTGATCTTGCATCCTGGTCCATCATCCCCGTTCTGTTGCACTAGTGCTATGTTGTAACTGCATCTCAAATACTTTTGAGGTCCTACAGGAGCAAGTTCCTCAATTAGTGTCTGTAGGCCTCACAAACCAACGTGGTCATGGCTTAGCAAGTGCCATCGGGTTCCATAGGAGATACGCTGTATCTATGCAAACAAGTCAGGGGCAGTTCAGGACATAGTAAAAAAGACTGAATCCGGACAGATAGAATTTGAGATAGATTAAACAGAGATACAGAGATAGAGATAGATAGGAGGTCGGGAAGGAGGGAGAGAGAGAATGAGAGATTGGGGAGAATAAAGAAAGAAACACTTCCACAATATGGGGCTGGCACTCCTGAATAACCCCTGTCCAGGAACTACTCTTCTTTGTTTAGTCTTCATATTGTGCCTTCACATTTGTAAGTTACCAGTCAAGATTGCTTTTCAGGACCTAACTTTTTCAGGTCCAGATCACGATGCTTCAACATGGATTCCAGAAAACACCATGACCCATACAGCCTTTAGGACAGGCTGCCAAGTGTTTATGCTAGTTATTCTTAATCAACTTCTCTTCTTTGTTCCCTGATGTCCCATAGCAAGTTAGCAAGGGTAGATGAGGACAGTGGTTTTACCCTACTGAGTTTGAGAACTAGAAGAAGAGATCTTTGCCTTCATGTGTAAGATTTGGCCTTGCTGCTTTGTCATGGAGGAATAAACAAGTTTGGGTAGGGGGCACTACAGCATGGCAAACAATCTCTGGAAGGCCTCAACCTATCATTTGAAGCAATCAATCAAAATTGACCATGTTGTCATGTGAAAGAAATATCCTAAGCCCAGTTCCTAACCAGTCAAATATCAAGCATTCAAAAATGCTATGACATAGTCATTTAATGCATAGCAGAACCCCAAACAAGGTTGTTCCCCTATAAAAGGAGCCATAGTCCACTGTTGCATGACATGTCGTTTTTCTACTTCTGCTCTGCCTGATGCTCCTTGATAGTGAACTCAATAAACTTCTCTTTATGTTCTGATCACACAAATTCTTTCACTTCTCATGACTCATGACTACTAAATCCTTTATGGATCTGACACTAATTCATGATAGGTTTTCTGTTTAAATATTGTATATTTTAATATTTCTCACACCTAATGAATAATATAAAGCTTCCAAAGTAAAACTTCTTACTCTTCACTTCATCTATTGCTGGTTTAATTCTATATTTAAGGCAAATGTCTTATCAGTAACCATCTCTTCAACTGTATGTCTGCTGGTGATGAAACAGTACTGGTCTATTGTATAAAACAATATGAGTACTTTAAAAAATATTCAAAGTAAGACTTGTTTCCTTGCTTGAATCAAACAGAATTCTGGATAAGTATATCATATTATAAGATTTGTCTTGTCAGTGATGATGGGTGATTTGATCAAAGCTAGATTATATAGTCACACTTAAGGAGTCATTAGTTTTAATCATAATTAAACATAAGCAAATGACAATCTCATTTATATTCAGAACAAAATAAAGGAAATTAGCTCCTCATCTAAAACTTCAGGAAATTAAGCCAGGCAATAATTATAGGGATAAGGCTGAAGTGGCGCCCTGTCTTCTTCAGTGTTCTTCTGCATAATTATCCTGATCTGCAGTGATAAATCAACTACACAAACACATACTTCTTCGAGGAAACACGTTTTAATTAGCTTATGGTTTATTTTGTCTCCTAGGCTTGAAAAGGGAAATTTATCAATTTGTGTTTTTAAATTTTAAATCATAACCATCTGAATAGAAACTATCATCAATACTGGGTTTAATGCTTCTTATATTTATTTTCTGTACAATTAAGATAAAAATCAGATTTTAGCTTGTTACATAAATTATAAATCAAAACTTATATATCAAATATATGTTAAAAATTCAATGTGAAAAGTTTTTACTTGTTAAGGTATTCCTTGGAAAGGAGTGGGTGAAGTATTGGGTTCTGATGATTAAGAAACCTGAGTCAGGTTTCTGCATGGATTGCTTGATACCCCTTAGCAATACTTTTACTTTTCTGAGTTTTTTTCTCCTCTCTGCAAAGAGAAGGACCAGGCTAGAATATCACTAACATCTTTACTAATTTTAGCACTCTATATCAGGGCCCTGCACAGACCTGCTGACTTCAGGTGGAGTTTTTTGTTGGATATTCTGGACAGCTCACAAATAACCACACAGAGACTTAATATTAATTATAAACACTTGGGTGATAGCTTCGGCTTGTTGTTAGATAGTTTTTATAGCTTAATCTATTTCTATTAATCTATTATGATATAATTAATAATTCCTCCCATTCCTTTCCTCCCTTTGTACTCTCCCATATACTTTTCCTTCCTCTTTTTAAAACCCATGGTCTCCTTTTTCATTAATTGTTGTTAAACAAGCTCAGTGATGCCATCACCAGTCCAAGACTTGGAGCACATACTAGAGGGTCACTTGTCAAGGTAGTGCAGAGCTCCAAAAGGAAATAATAAGTTTACTGTTTGAGCACTGAGAAAAAAAATGAGAAAATGTATAGAAAGTTACACTGGAACTAACAACCATTGTGTTTAACAGTCAGCTACCACAGAATAATCCTTCCATACACTGTGAAGATATTCTGCTCTCATTGTTAATAAAAAGCTGATTGGCCAATGGCTAGGCAGGATTTCCAGGGCAGAGTGAAGGCTGGAGAGAAGGGTGGAGTCGGAGGAGACACCATGATCAACAGATACTTGGTACTGATGGAAAAGAAAATGACTTCTGCGACTAGGTAGACTTACAATAAGTAAATTAAAGATAATAAGGCTTACACATTTTCTTCTGTCATTCTGAAATTTTCCATATAACTAATGCAGAACTATTCTCAA